GAGAAAGGAGGATTATTTGTACAAAGAAGCTCATTATACAAGAAAAGTTTAGTACATTAACAAATACACATGCAAATATTTAATATGTATGACAAATCAAAACTTCATACTCACAATTTTACATTACAACTTCAGAGTTCTTTTAATAAATCTTAGTACCACAATTTACCAAAAGCATTGCCTCAAACACACACATAGATTTCCAGTTTCAAGCTGAAGGCATTCAAACTATCCCTCATCCTCTGAAAAGAGAAATATTTTTATGTCCCTATTTGTAAAAATTATTTTCCCAACGTAAGTAGTAGCAACTGGAGTGCTCCAGCAAGTTGCCAGCATTCACAGTGATTTAGAGGCAGGGCCAAGGCACTGCTACCAACCCTAACTCTAAAAGGGCTGGGAGATGTCCTTTTATAACAGGTTACCCAAATATGGACTTCAGTGTGGGCCTCTGATACAGGATTCAGCACAGGCACGAGTCCATTTATGGTGGGAAATTTTTAGTCTCAGCCAGCTCTACACGAATCAGACCGTCTCTCAACTAATCTATGGCTCCAATGATATTGCTATACTTTCAATATGAAATAATTGGCTATATACTTCTTAAAATCTTGGGTTTATGTCTTACATTTCATAAATATTTGTTATCTCTAAATATTACTTGAAAGAATAATACTTAAACATTACTCAGTAAGTGTCAGGCATCCTTAATCTTTTATGCTCCTCTAGTCTTGTAATCATTGGCGCACTGAAGAAGACTGGGAAGGGGAGAGCTGGTAGTTAAAGGACCCCATTGTTCACTCAGATGTCTGTCTCACAGAAATACCACACGTTAGAGAAGACAGCCTGGTGCTGCTTGATGTTCACTGGGCACGGCAGTGTAAGCCCACGCTCTAGTTTCCGCTCTGCCATGTAGAAAGGTGGTGGTGATAAGGTTTTGGCAAGCTTTGGATCCAAACTCCAGCCATCTTTAAACCATGTCATTGGTAGGTTATTTGACTTTTCCTAAGTCTATGATTTCTCATATATAAAACTAGAGGCCCAGTGAATGAAAATTCATGCACTGGAGGGGGGGATCCCTCAGCCAGGCCTGCCCCCCTTACAATCCAGGAGCCCTCAGGGATGAGAGGCGACCCAGGGATCAAGGTAAGGCGATGCCCCTTCAGAACTCTGCTGCTGCCACTGTCAGAAATGCAAGTCTCGGCTGGCCCTGGTTACCTGAGCCTCAGGCGGCGGCCATTCAGGCTTGCCTGTGCCTTGGGCCAGCCCTGGGCAGCTGGGGGCCTGAGGGGATTGGGGGACTCCAGAGGCAGGCGCACGGCAGGGGTGGGCCCAGCCTGGCTGTGCGCCACCATATTTGAGGGTGAGGCAATCAATTAGAATATTCCCTTACTGGCTGTGGGTGCTGCCATCTTTGTGATGGCATGAGGGTCAATTAGCATATTCCTTCTTTATTAGATAGGATGGGAAAACTATCACTTATCTCAAAGGTACAGCCAGGTACATAAAATGTTGTGATAAGCAGAATTTTAAGATGGTTCCTAGCACATTTACTCCAAGGTATTACTTTCATGATCATGTAACTTTACATGGCAGAAGGGAAATTATCCAAATTTTCCTAATCTAATCACATGAACCCTTAACAAGTGATGAGTTTTCTCTGGCTGAGAACAGAAGAGGAAGGAGGAGAGATATGAGGTGTAGAAAGGATTCTAAGCACTGTTGTCGGCTTTGAAGATGGAAGTGGCTCTGTGTGAAAAGGAGCAGCTTCTGGAAGCTGAGAGCAGCCCCTGGCTGACAGCCAGCAATAAAACAGGGATGTGGCCTATGACTTCAAGGAAATGAATCCAATCAACATCAGAAATGAGTCTGGAAGCAGGTTTCCCCAGAGTCTCCAAATAAGAGCCCAAGCTGGCCAAGATTTCACCCTTTTGCGGCCGTAAGCAGAGAATCCAGATAAGCCTGCCGGACTTCTGATCTAATGCATAAATGGATATTGAATCAATTAATAGGTATTGTTTTAACCTCTGCCTCCCACCAAAAAAATCTTATGTTGAAGCCCTAAGCCCCAATGTGAATCTATTTGGAGATGGAGCTTTCAGGAGATAAAGTTATATGAGGCCATAGAGTGGGGCTTTAACCTAATAGGATGGTGGCCTTATAACAAGAGCAAGAGAGAGATGGGGAGGGGGGAGGGAATGGAAGAAGGGGGGGAAAGAGAGAGAGATCTTTCCATGTACACACCCTGAGAAGGAAAGGCCATGTAAAGACACAGCACGATGGTGGCCATCTACAGACCAGGAAGAGGCTCCTCACTAAGACCGACCGTGCTGGCATCCTGATCGTGGACTGCCAGCCTCCAGAACTGTAAGGGAAAAAGCTTCTGTTGTTGAAGTCACACAGCCCATTGTACTTTGTTACTGAAGCCTGACAGACTGACACTGGGGTCAAAGGGGGCTTGTCAGAGGCAGTGCTTGAGCTGAAGCACGAAGACTGGGAAGGACTCTGTGTTTCCTGGTGGTGAGATCCATGGTCTTTCCCGGCAACACGGCACAGAAATGTCAGGCGGCAGCCTCCACCCAAGCCGTGTGGTGCTGGAAGGGGAGTGGGGAGAAGGCTAGAAAAGCAAGCTGAGGCCAGACACTGAGGCTTAACATCGAAGGACAAAGACTTAACCTAAAGGATCAAGTTCAGTGGGATAGCACCAAAGGTTCTTACGTATTGGGAAGTATTGGGAAGTATATGATAGTATCCATTTTCAAAGGACCACTCCTGTGGCTGTAGGACAGACTGATATAAAGTGGAGAATAATTTAGCTCTGATGCTCACATTGTGCCTCATGAAACCCCTGGGTCCTAGAAGTCAAAGGTCAACATAAAAATGGAGGAGGCTAAGTGGGCAGGTTCCTGGGACCCCGTCCCCACTTTAATCACAGCAGTTCGGTGGCCCTAGACTCGACCTGAAATTTTTGTTACGCTCAGGATAACCAGCCTGCAATATTTTACTTCAAAGACTACTGAAGAAAATGGGTCATCTGTAGGTCAAGGGCACTACCCTCAAAGCCTTCCAGTTGTGGTAAAAAAAAAAATTAAAAAAAAGTCAGAGAATTCTCAAGAATTCTCACAAAAATATATCTGGACTCCTGACAGGAAGAAGACAGAACTAGTACCATGTGGATGGGGCCAAGCTAGATTGGGGGTCATACGAAAGCCCTAGTCTGTCATGGCTCCTAACATTGTCTAAAACTACCCCTAGACAAGTAAATGATTCTGTTTCGGAAAAAAAAAAAAATTGTAATTTTCATGCCACAAAAATCTGCTCTTACCTGATGTATTTTTACCTCAAAATATCAGATTATGACCTGAAATAGGAAAATTATACAAAGAAAACAAAATTACATTAAACTAACCTTCTGGCTTATAGAAAAGATGTTGTCATTTAGAAATGAGCTTTAAAAAATCTCATAGCAATTTTTGGCAACTGTATAACAGAACTAGAGTATTTTAAGATTGTAAAGTAAGAACTTTATGCCCAGCAGAGGGCAGTGTAGCTCTCCACAAAGCCTATGAGCACAATAGAGAATGGTGAGCATATAAGGGGCTGAAATATTATAATCCACTAAAACTATTGTGTGCCTGTCTACTGACTTTACTTTTCTAAAACATGTCAGACATATTGCTTAACAGATATCTTTGAAAAGGTAGCACAAAGATGAGCTAGTAAAGTCTTACAGTAATTAAAAAACTTCCTGGAAAAATGTATCTCCCTAAAATAAAAAAACAATATGATCATTTCTGGGAGGGCTGAGGTTTGTGTTGTCTTCATTATTTAAAACAACAGCCTTTTTGTTTCCTAAAACTTAAAAAGCTAGCTTGCTTTTTTTTTTTTTCTTTTAGAGAGAGAGGAAGAGAGAAAGAGAAGTATCGATCAGTTGCCTCCTGTATGTACCAACCTAGGTTTGTGTCAGGACTAGGAATAGATTCAACAATCTTTCATTGAACAGGATGATGCTCTAACCAACTGAGCCACACTGACCAGGGCTAAATAAATTTGCCTTTAAAAGAACCTAATATCCCATCATTTATTTTTTACTCTTTACAATCTTTTTTAACTTATGCTGTACACAGCCTTTTACTATAGACAGTTTCCTATGAAAACAGGAAGTTCAGAAGTGGTTCTCAAGTGAGGGTCATTCTAACAGGCAGCTGACATCCTAATGATGTATTCTGATTATTTTTTTCCTTCTAACAGTAATGTGTTGATTCTAGCTTTGAACAGATTTAGAAACTACCATTATGGTCTTGACAACCATTGATGAACACCATTCATGTTTTTTCTAAGAACAGATTTTAAATATATTTTTAGCTTTATATGATATACACTATTACTTTTAAAAATTACTTATACAAAATTTAATTTTTCACCTACAAATATTTGTCCTCCATATATAGGCATTTATTCAAATCAAGACACTGGCAATGAATGATCATTTTGTTGTTATTCTCATAAATTCAAGTGCTTCAAAGTTTCTCAGCAATAAATTTATAGCTGAAAATTTTGAAGAAATCCAGTTTTAAATTTCCTAACAATCTGGACCAGAATGCCCAATTCATCATTCAAACTTATTGTTTATTGCAAATATACAGACAAAGATGTGCAAAGTTATCAATAATTATAAAAGACTAATCATTAAATTAATAAACAATCCTAGGAGATTACCACAAACCATAAAGAGACACACTCAATATTCTAGATTCACAAGAAATGTGAAGGACAGTAAACAAATCAAACAATTCTAAATATAGTTAGTATGGCCCAATTAGCTCAAACTTGACAGGAAGACAGGCTAGCTTTATTTTTTATTTATTTCTTATAAAAGAAAGTAACAGATCTCCAACTTAGCAACCAACCAAGCGAACTTGTAAGAGATGTGCACTGTCTGAGAAAGCACTGCCAAACAGCAGAAATTCCTGATGTGGTTGTAGTTCTCCAAATATTATTACCTCCAGAAGTGCAGTTCAAATCCTTCACATTTTTCTTTGCATTTTAAACAGGGGGCTCCAAATCCTTGCTCGTGACCTAAGCCCATCTGTTAAAAAGAAAACAACTTAGATTTGTTATTACATATTTTAGAAATCTAAAAAATTCAATAAATTGCACTTTTAATTCCACTTACCACTCCTGTTTATAAAACTTTCAAACAAGTATTTTATGAGTGTTATACTGTTTAGTCAATGATGATACTCAAGTACATACATACCATACTTGTATTCTTATTGCTTTTTCCATGAAGAGAAAAGCATCAGAATGAAACTATATAGAAAACTACAAATATTGCAATTTGCAAAAAGTCATGAATTGATATCCTTGGCCACTACATGCCCTGTATCTATTACGTACAGGGAGTTTAGAAAGCCGGCCCCAAGTGACCTACTTATTTATTAATAGTACAAAATATTATTTATATTATGATAAATATAATCATAGCAACAACAAACATATATTGAATGCCATGGAACTGAGATAAATATGTATATCCTCATAAAATGCTTATAAAGTATACAATATTTTCAATTTTAAAGATGAACAACTGAAATTCAGAGAATTATGGAACTTTAAACAGATCAAAGTGTTAATAAGTCCAGGTCTGGCTAACTCTGAGACATGTGCTCTTTACCCAACCATTGATAGTATAGTAAAAAAGATCAACTGGCTTTGTATCAGCACATTGGCCAAAAAAAATTAGCTTATTTTGTGTTTTAAATACCACATTAGTGACTACTGAAAAAATCATTATCTGCTACTACCTGGAGAAATATTTCAAGAAAGACAAGTAACAGATTTTTTTTCAATGGCACCTTTTTGTAATGTTACCGAATTGTGTTTGTCACTAAGTATTAAAAATCACATTATAACTTGTTTCTTGAAAGATTAGCCTGGCCATGCCCTGAAGTTTAATAATTTTTTTTTTTTAACATAAAGAGAACCCTTCCTTTTTTTCTGAAGAAAAACACCACATCCTCTTACCACAACTAAGGGCATATTCAAAACCAGCTGGGCCACCAGCTGCTTGGGAGAACCCAGGTTATTTTAAGTAAGACCATCAAGCATGCTTTCCAATGGTGAAAAAAAGCTGTCCAACATTAACTAAACTTTGTCACCTTTGCCATGGCTACATTACCAATTTTCAAAAGAATAATCCTCCAAATTATATATTTATCTTTAACACTAGAATACACTATTTTTTCTTTTGAGGAATCAAATTGTTTCCTTATCACAGATGATTATAGTTTGCAGTACAGAAATAAAAGGGGCTAAGCAAAAGCCAGAGATGACTAATTCGAATTTTCTGGTCTTTTATAAATGCACTAGAGGTTCAGTGCACAAAATCTGTGCACTTGATGGGGGGTTCCTCAACCCTGCCTGTGCCCTCTTGCAATGTGGGTGCCTTGGAGGATGTCCAACTGACGGCATATGCCCATTCCCTCACAGAGCGCGGGCCTAAGCTGTCTGTCTGACATCTCAGCGCTGCTGCGGAGTCAACGGAGGCTCCCACCACCGCCCTTGCCTTTGCCGCAGTGAGCCCGGCTTCTGGATGAGCAGCGCTTCCTTCCCCTGTAGGTGCGCACTGACCACCAGGGCACAGCTCCTGTATTGAGCGTCTTCACCCTGGTGGTCAGAGCGTGTCATAACGATCAGTTGTTCTGCTGCTCAGTTAATTTGCATATTAGCCTTTTATTATATAGGATAATTAGAGCATGTTCTCCATCATAGTAAAACAAACAGCTAATCTACAAAGGTGTATTCTTTTTCAAGCCCTTTCTAGTTTTCCATTAAGAAAAGTTAACAATCCTGAATTCATCTGGTGTGTGGAATTGCTTCCTACTGTGTTCCATGCATCACCTGTTAAACTCTGATCTTAAATGAAAAATTAAGATTACATTATTAAGCTTAATCACATAACTCATCTTAAACCAACTACTTTTAAATTCTCTGATGTATAATTCACAGTAAGAAATATATGTTATCTCATGACACAGAACTTACATACACATATACAAGCTCACGTGTGTATAAATATGTAAATCCTGAAACAAATAACCGAGACTAAGTGTTCTTCTGCCTCTAACTGAAATGGGCACCTAAACAAATTCCTGCCTGTTTTAAAATCTGAATCCCTGGTCGGAGCAGCTCTGTGCTTAATAAAATATTACAAATATACTGAAAAAATACCATTACATTTTTTATTTCTGAATGAAACTTGGGAGGTCAACTAATACCACTAATAGAACCTCAAATAGCAGACATTTTACACTAAGTAGCTCACTGTTGATTTACAAAATCAGGCTTGGAAAAGAACAAGTTGTTTCTTTCCTAACTGCTTTTTATCTTCTTAAAATAGTTATCAAATGTTTATGGAATTATTAAAACTGGTAGTATTCCATGAAGATCTGCTCTTTTAAAATGTCCCACACAGCCGAAACCTGTTTGGCTCAGTGGTGGAGCATCGGTCTGCGGAATGAAGGGTCCCAGGTTTGATTCCGGTCAAGGGCATGTACCTGGGTTGCGGGCACATCCCCGGTAGGGGGTGTGCAGGAGGCAGCTGCTTGATGTTTCTCTCTCATCGACGTTTCTAGCTCTCTATCTCTCTCACTTCCTCTCTGTGAAAAATCAATAAAATATATTAAATAAATAAATAAAATAAAAATAAATAAATAAATAAAAAATAAAATGTCCCACACATTTTTAGTGCTGAACAGGCCTCGGCTTTCCCTAATGTAAGAGATCAGGAAGATAAATCCAGAGGAGGTGACCTGCTCGTGGTCACACAGTCAGTCAACAGCAGGTTAACCTAAAACTGATGCCTGGCTCCTGCTCCACTGAGCTGAGGGGTAGACCTCTGCAGAGTGTCCAAGAGGAGCCCTCAGCCTTCCGAAGAGACGTCCTGGCTCACACTGGTTTCAAGGAGAAGGACTCCAAGCCTCCAAAGCCTCCTGCAATGCCTCCAAGGAAGAAGGCTTTCAGAGAGCTTTGGAAAGGGAGATGTGAATCTGTCAGGAAGTAGGGAAAGCTCTTTTGAACAAGTGATGCTTAAATTGTGACTTTTTAATGGGCAGAATCTAAGTCAGCAAAGAGGAGGAAGAAGTTCATTCACGGCAGAGGGGACACCGTATGGGAAGGCCTGTGGCAGAAGGCGGCATGGTAGAAGCCAAAGACACCTTCGAACCCGAGAAGTGGCAGGGCTAGCCTCGTAGTGGGCAGAGTGGGTGTTTCCTCCTTCTTCTTTTCCTTTTGCCAGCGAAGTAATAAATGTTCTCCAGTAGTTGGTACCAAGTCTTGGGCTACCAGGTTTAACAGTGGAAAAGGTATTCCCAGGTAGGATGGGACTATAGGGAGAAGTGCTACAAAAACCAGGCAACGGGGCTGAGTGTGGGAGGGCAAGAGCCCTCTCATCTCTGCTACCCAAACCTCAGAGGGCCACCCTCAGCAAAGTAGGAGACCTGAGTGAAAAAAGCAGTGATTTGGGGAAATGGCTCTATTGCCTGCCCTGGAAAGCTCAGAAAGCCCTGTTCTTCCATCCCTGTTCGCCTGACTGGAAGGCCAAACTCATCTCCACTTAGGCTCCTTCCAGCACAGTTGTGACCACCTAAGAAAAGTACCGCCTCCCTACAATTCATTTTCTTCAAATGCTCAGACACAAGGAGTGAGGAGGCTCTGAAAATATCCCAGAAAGAGAACAAGTGCATGAAAGAGAGTGGAATGAGGTCGTGGCAATATGATACACTGTCTCCTACGATAATCCAACGGAAACAGTTCTAATTTAAAATCAACACCCAAACAAAAGCAAGGAGAGTTTCAGACTGGAAATGCACTTATTTTCCGTTGGGAGTTTCGTTTAGAGAAATTATTTTATAGATATAAACTTATAGCTATGAAACTTAAATCTAATTGGCACTCAGTACTGAAGATCTCTAACTAATGCCACATTACTAGGTGGGAATTTTTTCCATATCCTTACCCTCTTTACCAAGCTATGAGGTTAAAAAAACCACAATGCCACTCAAACAACAAAGATAAGCGGTTCAAAGCTAGTGTTTTCTCTGTTTAATAGACTGCATGTTCCAGGCTGAATTATAACCTAAGTGCTATTGTGTTCTCCAATCCTGTTAAACCCAATGTAGATAGCACTGCACAGGAGAAGACATATATCTACCAGGCAAATTTCTTCTGCTTCTGTTCCCACCCCAATTTGGGCATCTGTATTCTCCCCTTCACAAATCAAACACATATCAGATGAAGGAAATGTACTGGTACTAATTCTACTCTATTAAAAAAATGTGCTTCAGAGCCAGAGCTTCCCAGGCACAGTTTCTCAAGGCTGAATCCCATACCTTTCGGGATGAGGATTATAGGAGCTGGGGTTTCCTAACTCTTCCTAGTCTCAGTTCAAGATCTGAAACCTCATCTACCCCAAGAGTTTAGCTCATTTCTCTCCCCTCTTCATGCTGTGTTCAGGATTCCCTCAGTCCAAGACCCAGAATTCTTCTCACTAAACCTCCCCCTTCTCTTTACCCTCAACAACCACACCTCCCGAGCAGGGTCCTTCTCCTTTCCTCAAGAGCCTGTTCCTCTTGGACACCTAGATTACGTAGGTTAGTTTCTGCCCAGGTGTCTGGGTTTGAGAATTTTGGGTGAGGGGTAAGAACAGGAAAGGATTGTGGGAGGGTTTGGTGGAGAGCCCAGAAAGCTCCTCAGGCTGGTTGGCTGCCACAGTGCGCATCATAGCCACCAGTCATTCTGGTCATTCTGCCTTTCCAGTCACTGGGCTTTTATATATATATATATATATATATATATATATATATATATATATATATATATATATAGATGTACTTTTACCTTTAACAGACACATCCCCTCACCGGAATTAGTCCTTTATATCGAGGACTAATTAAACATAGTGGCTTGTTATAACTGTTTGTTCTGTAGTTTCTGATCATGATAGTCCACTCATGCTTCTGCATTTTAGCACCCTGGGCTGAGTTCAGCTGGACTCAGTGTAACAGGCATGTCGGGACAGATGGTTCA